CCTCTTGCCATGATCACCACCACCACAGACCAATGGTAAGTATGACTAGGCTATCCCCGATGTGCACTTAAGGTCCAAGTGCTCTTCAGTCAGCTTGTCATGAATGCTGCCAGGTCTGGTACTTACCCTTTAGAGCAATGGGCTCCCTTCCAGCACAGGGCAAGTCCAGAAATGCCATCCAAGGGCCAAGTCCTGGAATCAGGAACCCTAAGAGGCTGCGTGGTGCTCTAGCTCACTGTGGCTGAGATGGTAACTAAGGTGAAAGACCAAGTCTGTTTAAATTTTCCCTCTGCTTTTCTCAAGTAGAAGGAATCTCCCACAGTAGCCACCATACCTCAGAATGTGCTGAAGTCTCACCTGAAGCCAGCACATTCCAGAGTCTCTCTCCAGGCCCATGACATACTACTTATGGTATTGCTACTGGTTCTTCAGGGCTCAAGGCTGTTTAGTCAGCAGGTAGTGAATCCTGCCAGGACTAGGTCCTTTCCTTTAAGGCAATGGGTTCCTTCCTGGCCCAGGGTGTGTCTAGATATGTTATACAAGAGCTAGGCTGCTCAACTCTTGTCTATTGCCATGTTCTTCTGTGGTGAAGATGGTATCCAAGATGCAAGGCAAAGTCCTCTTTATTCTTCCCTCTCCTCTCTTCAAGCAGAAGGAAAGAGCCACTTTGTTGCTACAAGCTGTGCTGCCTAGGATTGGGGGAGGGATGGCATAAGCACTCCCTTAGCCTTCCTGGCTGCCTACAACAAATGTTTACTAGGTTCCATACCCCTGACATCCACTGGCTCTGAGCCCAGCATAGCACTAGGACTTGCCTCAGAATTGCAGTCCTTGTGGCCTAGACTTCCTTTTAAATTTATTTAGAACCCCAGAGCACTTTAGCCCACAGTGGTGAGGCTTGCCAAAACTCAAGTTCCAACCACTAGGATGAGCGGCAATTCCCCTCTGGCTAGGGCTGGTCTAAATGCTCCTTCCATAGGTGAATTGTTGGCTGAATTTAGCCTAGTGTTTCTTTCTGCTGTGACAGAGCAGCACTGAGTTCATTGCAGGGTCCCACACTCAATGCACTCTCCCTCCCCCAAATGCACAAATTCTCCATGCTACACTGCCACTGCAGGGGGATAGGGGAAGGATGGTGTTGGTGATTCAAGATTGTCTTTCTTACTTTCTTCAGTGGTTCTTTCAGTGATACAAAATTATCACAGCATCAGTTATTACAGCACCAGTGATCTCAAGTGCTGTGAGATTGTTCACCTGATTTTTGGTTCTTAGGAAGGTGCTTTTGTGTGTGTGTAGATACTTGTTAAATTTACTGTTCCTGTGTATGTATGGGGTGGGGAGGCAATTGGTGAAGGCTTCCATCTGCCCATCTTGGTTTACTTTCTTTTTTCTTTTAATTTTTAAGAATAGAACTTTATTTATTGATAATGGAGTCAAGGAATTTTTAACTTTATTGCTTTCCTACAAAGTCAATAAAAAGAAAAATGGCCACAATTCCAAATTAGAAACCGTAAACTCTCTTTATTGGTCATATATTGTGACAATTATGTTGTGAGCCATCATATACTTGCTTGAACCTTGAGGAATTTGTCCTAAAAAAATAGTTACAATTCTGAAAAGAGCATTCAGTAATTTTTATGTAAGGAAAACTAGAATCGTTCCCAGAGTGACTCAATTTGACACCAAAGGAATACCAAGTAAGGCAGATCCCAGGACAAATGATGTTTTATTACCTGGGAACTAGGCTTCTTGTTGGAAGTGAAGTGGATGAAGGGGCTGCTAAAGAGTGTCTTTATTACACACTATTTACTTGAGTGCTAAAAATTGAGGAAAGATGTGCTCCCAATGCAGAGAAAATAGCAGTTTTAGTGAGATGGTGAATATTGCTGGGGACAATGTATAATAATGGAGGCTGTCTTTTGATACATTTAGGCTGCTATAACAGAATACCATAGACTGGGTGGCTTCGAAACAACAGAAATGTATTGTTCACAGTTCTAGAGGATGGAGAATCCTGTATCAAGGTGCCAACAAATTCCAGGTGTGATGAGGGTCTGCTTCTTGGTTCATAAGTGTTTGTCTCCTGTCTGTGGATGGAAACATGGTGGATGGAAAAGAGAACTCTTTGTAGTTCTTTGTATAAGAGCTCTCATCTCATTCAGGAAGACTTCATTCTCATGACCTAATCACCTCCCAAAGACTTCACCCACTAATATTATCACTGGGGCTTAGGATTTCAGTGCATGCATTTTGGGAGCACACAGACTTTCAGCCTTAAGCAGAGACTATGTAATGTCCCAGAACACTCATTGCCTGTTACCTATTCTAACCCTTCCTTCATATAGTTTTAGAACAAATAGTAGATCCATTTATTAAAAAAGTAATAATTAGAAATGACTAGCACAGTACCTATGCATACAAATGCAAAATGAGGAAATGAATATAATTAAAACTAGATGAAGAGCATAGATCATGAGGGGAATTACCCAAAGTGACAGAAAAAATAATTTTTCAATGATGTTAAGATAAATAATTTCCCTGTGTTTAAAAAAAGCAGAGAATACAATATCTCCAAAATAATATCATAAAGAAAACAGAATAAGGTAGAAGTAAGCTGGAAGAGCTTATAAACAAAATGGAATAAAAAAGAAAACATTGTGGAGATGAAAAACATATTAGAAGCAATGAAAAGAACATATACACAGCTGAAAACAGAATCAGTAAAATGGTGAATAGATGTAATGAAATAATCTAAAATGAAATGGAAAAAATAAGGATATAAACATGATTATAGGGAGTCCAATCCATGCATACATTTCTATAAGAGAATTTTAATTCAATATTATTTAATTCCAGTTTCTCATTTTAGGTTTTGATGTAGTGGATGATAGATTAGTTATCTGCTGCTATATACCAAATTACCCCAAACTTTAATGGCTTAAATAACATTTACTGTCTAGCAGCTTCTGTGGATTAGAAATTCAGGTGTAGTTTTGTTAAGTCATTTGGCTCAGGATCTCTCAGAAAGCCACAATCAAGATGTTAGTTAGGGGCTGCAGTCATCTCAAGGTTCCAGTGTGGAAGGATCTGCTTCCAAGCTCAGTTCACATGATGCTTGGCAGGATTCAGTTTCTCAAAAGTAATTAAACTTCCTGTTTATGGTGCAAACTTTATGACTTGTTTCTTGATAGTTTTGCCTCTTGAATCTCGAAGTCCAGATCATTGGAAAATGAAAAAACTTCTGTGTGTATTAAGTGCCTTGCTCTTGAAACTAAAATATTTATCTTTCAAGACAATTTTCCAGGCTGTAAGTTTAATATAAATTTACTTAGCAACTTGACTGCCTTATCTTTTTAACAAGTGGGACAATCAATTATCTATATATATTTCTACCTTTTCTTCTCTGTCTGTACATAGGAAAAATGTCCACAGTGTTAATAAATTTTCAGAAAGTAATTTCTAAATGTTGAGATTTTAAGGAATTTAAGAATATTTTCCTTTGTACTACATGGTTTTGTTTTTGATTACTTATAATGAACATATACAATTTTTATAGGGGGTAATAATGTTATTATCCTTAGCTAAGAGAATCAAAATAAAACCTTAGGGACATGTGTACCAGAATGTATTCATAGAATTCTTGATAGATGATAAAAACTCACACAAGTAATAGCTGCATCATTACTATTTTTAAAATAGCATCATATAAATATACACTTGAATTCATTAAACTTTTGCTTTAAGCAAGAATTTTATTTTTTTGGCTAAAACATATGAACACATATATTTTTATCACAGATCATTTATTTCACTCAATCCATATAATGTGATTAATTGAGTTTTAATTAAACCTCTGAGATGTGGTCCACACTCTGTAGTTTATTTTTGGTTTTATCTGATGAAGCTTTAAAAACTAACATTTATACAGGTGCCCACAATGACCATTTTCCCTTTGCTTAAGAATACAGAACTATTTAAAGTTACCTGATCTGTTAATGATGAAGAGAATGGCAGTTAAATGAATATTTTGTGATTAGGAAGCCCAAGAGAGAACTGAAGAATAAAAGGATAATAAGCAATGCACTTCCATCCTAAAAAATGCCCTCTGAGCCAAAATAACTCAAAGTTCCAACTTGTTAGCAAAATTCACTGGGGCTGAGGAGTGAAAGAAACAAAGTATTATTCTGCTGCTCTTATAACAATTCTGATAAATTACAAGAATTTGGGTTTCCCAGGGAATCAAAAACGCTTCTAAAGGGCTATGGTCACAAGTAGTCAATCTTTTTCCTTACTTGTCCCAAGTTATATAGCAAATGCTAAAATGATATGTACCCTTTGGATAAATGTAGAATGGTGATTCAGACAACCACATTTTTCTCCTTGCAAAATATGTTACTATCCAGGAAAGGGTTGGAAACTTTTTCTTTAGATGATTAACCTGATTAACAGTTTTAAAAAAGAATTTCAAAATAAAGAATGACTGAAAAGAAGTATCTCTATTTGCCAATGGCACACGTTTACCTATTTAACAAACCTACACATCCTGCACATGTACCCCTGAACTTAAAAGTTGAAGGAAAAAAAGAAATATTGCTATTTGCTTCTTTAATGAAGTATCATTTTTAAACTATCTTAATATTTAATTGGCACATAGTTTATTCTCATGATTCTGAATTTTTCTCATGGTTAGGCTCTCATGATAAAGGGCATAGATCGAAGGAAAGTAGCAGTCATAATCTGATACTCTGTTGCTTTACTTGTTTCAAATGTTGAGAAGCTTAGTTTGTTGCAAAATGTTAGAAACTGTGGGGCAGAGATTACTTGATCTTTAATTTTGAACAATCTTCAGATGATTGGTTTGTCATTGAGATAATATCTTTTTAGTGCACTAATTGCTTTTCTGTTCTACTAATTTGTGAAATCAAAGTTTGACAGTTTAAGGTTTGAAAAATATTTAGAAGGTCAAATTTATCTTTTTAGAAAGTCATTCAATTTTTAAAATTACTTTCAATTGTTAATGTTTAAATCATGTTCAAAGGAATCTTATGGTTAAATTATTCATGAGTCACATTCTATTTAGATATTCGTTAGATGGGATTCTAAGAATAAGTGGAATTTGTAGCATCATTCAATCGAAGAAAATAGTGGCAGCCTTAGGGCTGAGAGGGCACAAGGCTCCTTTGTGTGTTACTCAAAAGCACCTCCTCTGGGCTCCCAAAGGCCAATAGATGCATGGCTTAGGGAGTAGGCTCAGGCTGGCTTTCAGCCCCACTCACCAGCTTGGCTTTGTGCCTATGTGCAGAGAAAAACCCATAGAACCCTTTGGAATGGACCTGACCAGCTTCATTTAGAAATGGAGAAATGTGAGTCCCATGAATGTTCTTACTATTAGTTGACAGCTTAATTGGAAGGATCATCATCATTTGAACAAACTGCTTTAACTGCTAACATGGTTTTATTTATACTGCTTTAATGACCGAAATAAATTAATGGCGTGGCAATTAAATCTGTTGCTTTTTGCACGACTATTATAATTAAGAAAGGGAATTAACAGTCAATTCAGTGGTGCTAGGTTTGTTTATTTTGTGTTTTCTTTAATAATTTATCATATCAACTAATGGATTTGCAAAGTCAATTGAGAATTTTGACAATGGTATTTGCTGCTCATAAACATCTGTCCTGTGTAGCCAGGACATGGTGCTAATGAAGTTTTGGCCTCTGATTTGAACCTCATATGAGTGAGTATACCTCTTTATTTTCAATGATCGTAGACAGTGTCTAAGTCTAGTAGTTTGTCAAACAAATCCTAATGATAATTTAATATCATTCATTTGATAATTTGTTTAGTTTTATTTACAACTAATTTGTTATATTTTATATTTTGTTCACCGTAGGTAACGTTGTTTAACATTCTTTCTATGGCATAGACTATAACATAGGTTGTGCAATGAAGCAGTAGGTTTGTACTTATTTATTTAATTTGAACAAGAAACTTGAAAGTTATGCCTGTATATTTTAAAAGGACATAGCAGGCCAGGCACGGTGGCTCATGCCTGTAATCCCAGTACTTTGGGAGGCTGAGGTGGGAGGATGACTTGAGGTCAGGAGTTCGAGACCAGCCTGGCCAACATGGCGAAAACTCATCTCTACTAAAAATACAAAAATTAGCTGGGTGTGGCAGTGTACGCCTGTAATCGCAGCTATCTGGGAGGCTGAGGCACAAGAATCACTCAAACCTGGGAGGCAGAGGTTGCAGTGAGCTGAGATTGTGCTGCTGCACTCCAGCCTGGGCAACAGAGTGAGACCTGTCTAAAAACGAAAAGGTCATAGCAATAAAAATCTAATAATTATCATTGTAGCATCAATTTGGGAAGATTTCATAGGAAGGTACTCCCAAAGAAAGTTCAAATTCAGATGTACATAAAGTATAAATTTTAGTGATCTGATGAGCTCAAACTGGAAACAAAGCACAAAACTATTAATAACCAAGAAAGTTACAAAAGGGGCTGTTATTCAAACTGCTTCGGTGTTTTAAAATGCCTACTAGAATGATGCACTTATCTTCATTATGATGGCATAGATTAAATGAAATGTCAAGCTAATCTCACCTTAATGGAATGTACAGTCAAGTATACACACACGCACGTGCACACACACGTATGCACACACACATGCACGCGCACACACACACATTTTCTACAGTGTATGAGAAAATGATTTTTATTGTGTTTGTCAGATTAAGCAAGCAAACAAACACAATCAGCAACTTAAATACTTAAAGCCTAGTGTGGGGGATAAATACAAGGAAGTACATTGTAGCAAAATGATAGGGCTTTCCTGATCCAACCTATGTTTTGACATACACAATGTTGTAACTCTCCTTTGCAGCTATGTAAACCTCACCCAGTCAGAGCGTTATATTTGCTTTTACAATGTATAGACCTATATAAATTAAATAGCCTATTTTTAAATTATGTGCTTACTTTCTAGATAGTTGTCTCTGTGTTAGTTTTACAATAGACATTTATTTTCTTACTGTTCTTGAGCCCAGAAGTCCAAGATCAAGGTGTTGGCAGGTTTGGTTCCTTCTGAGTCCTCTCTCCTTGGCTTGAAGATAGCTGCCTTCTTGCTGAGTCCTCATCTAGTCTTCCTCAGTGTGCTACATCCCTGGTGTCTGTGTGTGTGTTCAAATTTCCGCTTCTTATAAAGTCACCTGTCAAACTGGAGTAGGCCCCCACCTAATTTAACTTAATCACCTCTTTAATGACTGTCTCAGGTCAAGCAGTCAGGCAGAGAGAGAGAGAGAGAGGGAAAGAATTTAGCTTTCCTCTGCCTTTTTGTTCTATCTGGGCTCTGGATGGGTTGGATGCCACCCACATTGAAGGGGGGCATCTGCTTTCCTCAGTCTACCATTTCAAACGTGAAATCCTAAAAGACCCACTCAATCCCTAGTACCTCAGAGAGTAGCTATCTCCAAATATAGTTATATCCCCAAATATAGTTATACTCTGAGGTACTAGGGATTGGGTGGGTTTTTTTTAGGATTTCAACATATGAAATTTGCAGGAATATAATTCAGTCTATAACATGCAGTAAATCTATTTTGATTGACTTACTGAGTTAAATAATTAGTATCAAAAAATATTTACTGTGTGACACACACAGCGGTTGTGGGGTGTGTCTGTGTGTGTGAGAGAGAAAGAGAAACAGAGAGAGAATGAGAAATGGTTTTTGACCTTTTGTGGAAAAGACAGACATAATAAAGATTTACTTCATTTAAGCCTTCACAGCACCTTGTTTGTATCTTTTTTATGGTACAAAATCTGCCTGCCATAGTTCAGTGTTTAGTTTGTAAATTTTTGAGGCGAGACACTGTCTGACTCATTTTTTTCCTCCTAATACTGGCCTGGTACAGAGGAAGCCATCAATGAATGTCTGGGAGTTGAACTGTGTACCTCATATCATTTAAAATTGTATATAAATAGGTACCATGGCAGAGATGTAAATGAAGAGTAATGAAGAAAAGATGAAAAGGACAATTGTTCTGACTCAAGAAATTGAGGAGAGTTTCTTAGATGACATTCTAGTTAGCCAGGGTTTCAAAATGTGAGGATAAGAGAAAATGAATATAAACACACACACACACACACACACACTCTCTCTCTCTCTCTCTCTCTCTCTCTCTCTCTCTTTATGTGTTCTCCTTAACCCCAGATCTATGTGTCTAGTTTTCAGCTGGACCTCCATAACATGAATATTCCCAGAAGCAGATCAAATGTCTCATATCCAGAATCAAAGTCCTCCTCTTCTCCCCATTGCCACTCTTCCTTCTGTGTTTCACGTTTCATTTTATGGCATTATCACAGTCTCAGTTGCACATGTCTGAAATCTCAGAATTTCAAATTGTCTGCTCTCCCTTCTTTCACCCTCCTCATCTAATCAATTTCCAGTCTCATTACTTCCACTTCTACAGTGTTGCTGCCTTCATTTTCTCACCATTTCCACTGTCACGTCCATAATTCAGCCCTCACCATTTCCCACCTCACTTCACCAAGTTTCCTACTATTCATCCACCTTGAGCGCAGGCTTTTTCCCCATCCTTTTACCTTTCATGATGTCATGGTTACATTCCATAAATTAAAATCTGGTTATTTCACCCTTTCCAAAACTTGCAATGGTCCCAACATCCAAGGAGTAACATACAAATATCTTGTTTGAGTATTCAACTATCTTATTTTGGTATTCAAGAGCTTTCCCTATAGACTCAAAACAACTTCTCAGCTTTATTTAACAGTCTCCTGATTTTCCCTTGGTCTCTACTGTGAATCATTATTCCTATTACACATGTTTTACCACCTGTCTCAGATTCCTTCCTTCATCTTGCAAGGCTACACACGTGTGTGTGTTGAATGAGATTTATGGTAAAGAATTCGCTCATGTGATTATGGAGTCTGAGAGGTTCCCATGGTCTGCCATCTGCAAACTGGAGACTCAGGAAAGCCAATAATGTAAATTTCAGTCTGAGTCTAAAGGCCTGAGAACAGGGAGCACCGATGGTGTAAGTCCCAGTCCAAGGACAGGCAAAGACCAATGTCTCAGCTCAAGCAGTCAGGCAGAGGCAGAGAGAGAGAGGGAATGAATTTAACTTTTCTCTTTTTGTTCTATGTGGGCTCTGGATGGGTTGGATGATGCCCACCCACATTGAGGAGGGCTGTCTGCTTTCCTCAGTTTACCAATTCAAATGTGAATCTCTTATGGAAAACACTCTCGCAGACTCACCTAGAAATAATATTTAACCAGATATCTGGGCATCCCGTGGCTCAGTCAAGTTGACATAAAGTTAATCATCACACAAGGCAAGAGATGTAGATTTAAAAGTAGATGGTGAAATTGTAACAACTGGAGATGAAATTGCTCAAAAAGAAGAAAGAAAAGTACTGAGGTTTAGATAAAATTGTTAGATAGACAATCAGATTTTGTGTGTGTACACATACACATGAGTTTGTAGGAATATAAATGAGGTAGTTAATACAGAAGAGGTCAAAAAGGAGCAAACTGTATAATTTCAAAGGACTAATTTGTGGCTTACTCAAACTGTTTCAGGTGTGAAAGAGAATAGATCCATCTGATCTATTTTCAAAAATAAATTCAGTATGTGTTTATTGCAGCAATATTCGCATAAGCCAAGATATAAAATCTATCCAAGTGTTCATCAATAGATGAATGAATACAGAAAGTGTGGTACATATACAAATGGAATATTATTCAGCTATATACAAAGGAGTGAAATCTTGCCATTTGCAGCAACATGGATGTAACAAGAGGTCATTATGTTAAGAGAATAAGCTGGGCACAAAAAGTCAAATGTTACAGATTTTCACTTATATGTGGGAGTTTAAAAAGTGGATCTAAATAAAGTTAAGAAGTAGATTAATGGTACCAGAGGCTAGAAACGATAGGGGTAGGAGGATGAAGAGAAGTTGGTTAATGGGTACAAAATATAATTTTTATGAGTTAGAATGAGTTCTAGTATTTGATAGTAAAGTAGGGAGATTATAGTTAACAATAATTTGTCCTATGTTTCTAAATAGCTAGAAGAAAATATCAGAATGCTCTCAACACAAAGAAAAGATAATATTTGAGGTGATGGATATCTCAGTTACCCTGATTTGATCATTATACATTGTGTACATGTATAAAAATGTCACATATACTCCCAAAATATGTACCATTATGTGAATAAAAGATATAAACAACAACAACCAAATAACAAGTAGTCAATCATGCTGCATTCTACTGCAAAAGTATCCTGTTAGTATCAATTAAAAATCAAATTGTTTAGGTTCATGGCATTCCAGAAATC